GGTCAATCGGAGCGCTGTCGGTGAGTGCGTTCGTGAGTATCGCGAGCTGTTCGATCGTAGATCGATGCGGACTATTCGGCGGCGCGGATTGGTTGACGCGGCTTTGACTGCCGGATGGATTACGGTTTAGAAATCCCGGCGAATAAACGCGATAGCAGGACTTAGGCTGCCGATTACGCTCGGCGGGAGTACGAGGATGCTCGTACGAAGGCGGAATCTTAGAACGGCGACTTAGCTTGGTACGCGGAAATGCCCGCAATACGAAGTTCGGTGGCCTAGAGGAGCCAAGTACGCTCGGCGGGTATACGAATAGATTCGTATGCGGGAATCAAGAATACCGAGGACGCTCGGCGGTACACGAGGATACTCATGTGCTGGAACAGGTATAACGAAAAACCGAGTATGCTCGGTTTGGGACTACGAGGACACTCGTAGAGGGATGTTCGCTGTCTATCAGCGAGCGGAGTCTGGTGAGAAGACGTACAGCCGGGCGTCTTTTATACCCGGCTGGCAGCCGAACGGCTTTGAATCGGCAAACATCGGCGGTTTCGGCGGCGAGCCCCCCACAAAACGGAATTTCGGAACGGTCGGGTGTGGGGGATTTTCGGCGGTTGACCGCCGCTGTTTTTGACAAAAAGCTTATCGGCGCTCGATGCGCCCTTGGTGGGCTACGGACGATGGACGGTCCGTAGCCGTAACGATGCAGCTTGCGGGCTGCACCGTTACACTAGAAAAAAAAATACGTATAATTATGCAAAAAGATGAAAGTATTTATTGCTACTAACCTGAATCAGTTTGAATACTGGCCATATTTTTTGAAACTAGTGTCATAAAATTTTCTTAAAAAAAAAAGATAAATTGCAATCAATTCATGAATAAAATATTTTTAAATATGTCATTTACCTTTAGTGGCCTTCCTTAAAACTGGAATGTTAACTATTGTATTTCGTTCTTTTTATCATTTTCTTCACTTTCTTCATTTGAAATGCTCTTTTTTTTGAAGGAAAGTGTTAAAAGTAATCGAGTTTAAATCTGAATCTGAATCAGATGTAAATTTTTTTTTAAATTTTTTTCCACATCCTTCATTTTCTGATGCTAAATCAAAAGTTTCTTCAGCTTGAGCTGCTTTATTTCTTGCAATACTCAGATCTAAAATTTTTATTATATTGTTATTGTTATAGTTATATAGAAAAATCATATATTTTTTCAAATAATACCTACCATATAATTCACCAATTAGTCTTGATTGATACAGATCTCAATCATGAGCAAGTGAGATGCAATTTTTTATCAAACTTCTTAATTTTAATCCACTATATGGTGGCCAAAAGCATCCATTAATATCCTTGATCCAGGACGCTGGCACGGCTTCTACTGTATTTTCTTTAATGAAATGTACCACTCTCCAACTCATTGCCATGATATCTGGAAGAAAAACAAATTAAAATAAATTCACTAAATAATTAAAATAGTGTTTTATTTACTTTTAAAATAATAATATTATAGATTGTAATAAAAATGTAAAGTTTATAATAAAAATTCTAATGAAGAAGTGAGTAAAATATCAAGCTTTTTTCTTGAATAAAGGCTATTATCTTGTTCCTTTGCGACGACTTTTCCTTCTCGTTAGAAACACACAATCCGGAAGGCGTGCAAAACCTCGTTGCTCTCTTTATTCCATATTAACCATACGGCAATGCTTAGAATTGGGCGCCAGGCGCGGATTGACGCGCCGCACAAATAAATAAGTCAGAACAAATATATCGTTAATAGCAAGCAACGGCGATAAGCGCGACTAGCCCGCTCACACCAAATGGCAGAGGGGCGAGGTTCTTTAGAGATGCAAACAAAAACTTGGAGAGTGGAGTCTGAAACAAGGCTATTATAGAAAACACATCAAATCATATAACAAATAACAAGTATATTTATAACAATGGTATTATCAAGGAAGACACAGAGTGTGTGTAGTGTGTATTAAAGGATTCGCTCGGCAAAGATACAACCCGTACCGATGAGAGAGAACTTATTATCTTACGGATGTTCGGTTCGCGTACTGTATTCTCACTCGGTATACAAAGCTTGGTCTAATCTTGCTGTGATCATTGAGTCCGGTCATTCTATTTCGCTCTTTCTTGATCTTACTAATAACGCACAATATTCTTTCGATCTCGCTATTAAAAGTTCTCAATTAACTCTCTCGGCAGAAGGCCGAGGCGAGCCCTCAAATAATACGGCGACAAGACGTGGCATAATTACAGTCACCGGACACAAATACGCGGTACGAAGAAAACAGTTATAGACGCAAAAATACTAAATAGTTCAACATGACGAAACGCGAAATGGCGACTGTCGGCTCGGCAGCCCCGAAGGGAAGAGTGTGGCAGAATCTAATTCTATATAGCGGTAACCAGCGGGGCCCGGCCGAAATCTAACCTCACACGGTATCGTGAGAAGTCTCAATACCTATGGTATTCCTCAAGTACATTACGCGAGATGTTATTTCCGCGAGGCTCGGGCCGCCTGCTGGTACCGCTCTTACCGCAAAGTCGAAGTGGTGGCCTTACAAAATCGTCGATACGCCCGTTGTGGTTCTCGAGGTTCCGCTCAGGTTGCCGACTCGCCGAACAGTGACAACAGTGAGGCCCGCCGGACATCGGTGACAATCCGCGCATCGTATTGCGCACGTAGATTCTGCGGTATCAATGAGTTGTTACTCGATCCTTCCTGACGCTCCTCGATCTTTCGGCCCTCTGTGGCGCTTTTCCGTGGCGATCCCGGTTTTATTTATGGTAGCTGTCTCGAACGTCCTTCGCGGCCTTTTCCATTCCGGATCCGGACTGTCTTTTGAATCGGCTGTGAACTGGCCAGGTTCCGACCTGATTCTTCTCTCCTGGCTCGTTACGGCAGCTCCATTTACTGTGGTACTCCACCCCGGACTTTCGGGAGTGCGAGAGCTCTCTTTCCCTTCGGGCGTCAATCCTCTCGGTGCGTCCACTGGTTCTGATCCGTTTCAAGTCTGAAACGTTATTCTCGGTAGCGACATATTCTGTGGATCTTATTGAACATGATGGAATATTCTTACGTGACCTTATGAATCCGTCCACTCGACGTCCGGGCCTCCGTCGTCCCGTCTGCAGAGTCCCTCGCAGGTCCCACGAAGGCTGCTCCTTGTCATTTACACAACATTGGTTTTTGGCCACTCACTCCGCTCCGCAAAATCTTTAAAAGACTTACAAAATAAGAGGAAGAGGTCGTCGTCCCCCCGCGGTGGGGTTTACGACCTCAAATTTCCCTCCTCGGTCGGGCTTATTCGCCCTTATGACGGACTGCAAAATGTCACGTCACACCTTATATCTCTCACACTTCGTATACAATATTCATTCAAATTCTTTGCAATATATATGTCAAAAATACTTGAGTCACAAGGATAGTCGAATAAATTATTTCTAGTTGTTTCGAGGAATATTCTTTCACATATGTAAGTATCTTTCCTTATTAAAATATATTCTATTTTTATATGTTCACTTGTTAAATAACAAAATGAGTCGGCAAGTCTTTCAATATTGAAACTAAACTTTTCAAGGGTTAATTTTTTGAACTGAATATAACTTTGATTACGAACTAGACCTTTAAAGTGTTCTTGCACACACAAAAAATTTTCTTTATTGACTCCTTTGAATCTAGTGCCTGTTCCAGTTCTTTTATCCATTTTACAATTTGTTGTAACCGTTTTTCATGTTTTCTAAGTAAATTCTTCAAACTTTGAAGGAAATTTTTGAATGAAAATGTGCTATATTTATTGAAATTTCCAACAATTTGTATGTTATCATATATATGAATTAAACCATGTACATTATGAGATATATTTTCTTTTCCATATAATTTACCAATTTGAACAAAACATTCAAGTAACGGATGTGCATAATTTGCATATTTCTGGATATATTCGTCATTCGAAAAATTGTCACTGCAATGTGCAGGACAAAGGAAATTTATATATCTATCATTTTCAATATTTCCTTTTAAAACGACTAATCCTGCATATAGCAAAAAGAATCTGAATTCAGTTGCCTTCCTTTTGATTTCATCTAAAAAACGTGGCTTTCGAGCAAATTTATTTGGTGTATTTTCAACTATTGATAACAATTGCCTAGTAATCTCATTAATTTTTTCAAATTGTAATTTTATTTGTGGCTTTCCAAAAGTCCACATCATCAACAATTTTTTCATGACACCTAAGCAAATAAAGTGCATATATTCCAATGGCACGTGAGAAACCATATCAATTCCTGGAATTCTTTCTATAATAGAAGTACCAAAATGATGTTGAATCTGGCTTTTATTTTGAAAATTCTGACCTGTTCTTTTTCTACAATTAATTTTAAGAAAACGAGTTCGACCTTTCAGGTATGTTCCTTTTTGAAAACATTTTGTACAAGAATAAAAATCTGTATGGCCTTTTATATAACAAATAATAGATTTAGTAGGAGCATATAAATCCTTTGATTTTAATTGTTTTACATTTCCATTAATATTGATACTGTTTAATGTTAGAGCTTTTGCTTCATTGACAAATTGTAATAAGAATTTGTTAGCATTTGCTGGCTTTTCATAGCCATGATATATTCCTACAGTAGCTACCTTTGTAGGATTTGAATATAAACTACATAATATTGGATATATCTGGCTACTTGAACTTTTACTCAAAGATAGACCATCAATATTTATTAAAATTTTGATCATGTTTGAACCATCATCTTTGTCAAGTTTTTTTATTGCTTCAGAAAGACCAAAATGGTAATATGTTCCTGGCTCTATTTCTTGAATTTCTAAAGTTCTGGGAGTAAATAAAAGAGTTCTAGCATCTGAAGGCAAGTCATTTGGCGAATCAGTTACTTGTTTTTAATCATTTTAAAAAATTAGAAAAAGCTGAATGACTAATTTTATGTTTCAGTGCCCAGTCTTTGAAATTATTTTTGAAAGCTGAACCTGAGGTTAAAGCAATATTTTTTTTATTTATTAATTGCTCATGCTATGGATCGCTTACATCATTTACAAAATATGAATCATCCTCTGATATGTTTTTGTTCAAATTTTCTTCAATATTATTAGATTTTGATAGTGACACAGTTTCAATAATGTCTTTACTTATTATATCATTTCTCTTTTTATTTATAAATTCTTGAGAACGTAAAGATAAATTTTTATGCAATTCTGTTCTTATTTTTTTATAAAAACCAGCTCGAGATCTCTTCAGCATGATCACGTTAAATAGCAGAAATAACTAATGAAAGCTACCAAACTTCTACTTTTCTCCTAGCAAATACTGTCTAATGAAAAGATATGAAAGAATAGTATTAGTAGTATTATGGTAAAAAATTATAATTATGGTTTCAAATCGTAATTTATAATTATCTATTATTAATTTTTATATCTTTCATTGACCTACCCAGATAGCACTAAATACTCCTATAAACATTTTATAAATATTCTTCAAAAATATTTCGAATATTCCATAAAACATTCTTATATATTCATCGTATGTTTATAGAACATTCGAATGGCACTATTATAAATATTTTTTAAATGTGAATAGAATAATCTACCAAATATTCTATAGAATATTTTGTGCATATTTATAGAATATTTTGCAAATATTCTTTAAAATACTTTATGAACGTGCGTAGTATATTGTACAGAATATTCTATATATCATTCATGTATTTTACAACATTCAATAATCTATTAACATGTGAGTTTTTATTATTTTTAAAAAGTCGATCTATTTCATCTTTTATTTAATCCAAAGAAAGAAACAGTATAACTTGAGAAATTGTTATAATGTTAATATTACCTGTTAACTGATATTATCAGTTTCTTAATTTTAACACTTAAATATTTTTCATGCATTGTAAATAATTTTAACTAATTTTTATCTTCTTTGTAAAAAAGTAAAATGGATTTATTTCCTTTCAAAATAATTCATATTTATAAGATATTGAATGTTGCATAAAAATATATTTAACTGTCTGAAAATGAACAACTTAATGTTTCTTAAAACAACTGTGATTATTTGAATATATATACATATATTAGGCCGAAAGGTTCATATTTAAGTAATAAATACATAAATGTAATTAAATCTAATTTTTTATTATTTCAAAAAATTTTATACATAAAGTATAAATTTCAAAACGTTTTAAACATTAATATTTTATAAACATATTTTATAAACCAAATAAAATATAATTACAAAACTTTTCTATTTTTAATTTAAAATATTAATTATCATAAAAACAGTGTTATAAATAAAATAAAGCTTTATGCATTTCTTAATCATCAATTAACATTCTATAAAATAAAAAAGACATTGCACAATATACTAACTTTAAGCAATGAATTAGACAACAACTGTATAAGTAAATTATACTTTTTAAATAAAACGAAGAACTTCCTAATATTAAGTAATTGTTGTTGCACAAAAGAAATAAAAATAATTTTTTTTTTCTATCTTAACTCAAAATAATACTTAATTTAATACTTAAAATAATACTCAATAATACTTAATTATAATATTAAAATAAAATTTTTCCATTTACTTGGAATAGAATGTCTTATTTTTCTTTCCTTGATTT